CTTCCTGCCTGCCTGCCCAACACAGCAGCCTCATGGAAGAGCCAGCTCCCTGCAGCCAGGCAGGGCGGGGGACGGGTGACAGAACAGCGCTAAAGTTAAGGTGCCAACACCACTGCGTTAGGGGGTGAGGTACCTGAACTGAGCTGCTTCTGCTCTCGGGGCTGCCCCCGCCGCCAGTCACCGGCAGTGGTGGCCGCCCTGCGGCGGGCCGGGCGCAGGCAGCTCCCCGCAGGCAGGGGGTGGGCAGGTCCGCCCCAGCTGCTGCCAGCCCCCGGCACGGAAGGAGGAAGGGCAGGGGAAACGCGCGGAGCATCGCACCCGCACCCGCACGGCCGCTGTGCCCGCAGGAGGAAGCGGCCCCACTCCTGCGGGCAGGGGAAGGACAAGTCCCCGTGCTCGGGCTGGGGCTGCAGCGAGGGGAGCGGCGTGGGGCAGATGTGGGGTGCGACCACCCCCCAACGGCACCTCCCAGGACTCCCCAAGACTCATCCGTACACCCGCACGGGCCCCCTCACCCCACGCAGACCCTGGGCATCCTCCCGAAGCTCTGTGAGGACCCTCAGAGGCCCCATAACCCCTCGCCCCACGACCCGGAGACCTCCACGCGCCCCCTCCCCGGGGCGGCCTCGCTGCCGGCCCGCACTCACTCCGCGTAGCCCGTCCCCCAGGGCAGGGGCCGCTCGGGCCCGGTGCCCCGCACGACCCGCCTGTCCCGCGGGCTCTCCTCGGCGCCACCACGCAGGAACTTGGGCCGGCGGTAGCTGAGGGCGGCGGGCGGAGGGTCCGGCCCCGTGCCCGGTGTCCCTCCGGGCTGCTCCGCGGGGCCGCCCCGCCGCAGCCGCCGCAGCCACTCGGCTGCCATGGCGGGGCCCGGCCCGGCCTCCAGTGCTGCCGCTGAACGCCGCCAGGGGGCGCCGCAGCGCGGACCCGGCTCCTCCCCGGGGCGGTGCAGGCGGTGCAGGGCAGCGCAGCGCGGTGCGGGCGGCGGCTCCAGGCTCCGGAAGCGGCCGTGGTGCCCGCGGAGCCGTTTCCTGCCCGGGACGCGGCGGAGCCGGAGCCGAGCGGAACGGAACGGAGCGGAGCGGGGCCGAGCCGAGCCGAGCCATGACTCACCAGACCGGCATCCACGGTAGGCGGCGCCCGCCGAGCTCCTGGGTCCCCGCGCCCCTTCCCTCGGGGTGGGCTCGGCAGGGCTCGGACCGCTCTCCGTGAGCCGGGCTGCTCCTCCGCACGCCCATCGGGAGGCACCTTGAGCATCCCCCGGCGCGGCGCGGCGGTGTCGCGGTAGCGGTGGTGGGGGCGGTAAGATGAACCTTCCCGAAGGAGCCGGCAGGTTTCCCTGCAAGTAGCGAGGGGGTGGGGGAGGCGTAGAGCCAGGCTGAGAGCGTTTGGGTGCTGGTGGAAGGTGAAGGAGGGGTCTGGCTCCCGGAGCTGCTGCCTTTGAGGGGCTCTCCTCACCCTTTGTCTGGGCTGATGCTCAGGACGCCGCTGTGACACCGCTGGTGCGGGCGCCTGCTGCTGCGGCAGCACCTTAACCCCCGCAGAGCTGCTCCGCCGCAGCCCCCGGCCGCATCTGCCCGCCACGGGGTGATGCTCGGCCCCGGCCCTGAGCCTGCTCCCGGCGGGGGTGCAGAGAGAGCCTCGGGAAATTCCTGCCCGGCTGCTGCCGTGGTGTCGGGGGGAAGCTCCCCGCTCTCTCTGCTCGCTCCCTGCAGGGCCGGCCAGCACCCCCAGACAGCAGCTTTTGCATTTATGGGTGCGTTCGGTGTGTGAGTGTGCCCGCACGGTATTTCCCTCCTGCGCCGCGCTGCCAACTCAATTAACGATATTAATCAGGAGTAGAGGTGCTGCATAATTTATGTAACCGAATCAATATGCGAGCAGGGATGTGAGAGCAGCTGGCCCTGAAGCCCTGCTCCGTGCCAGTCTCGCACTGCTGTGTGCCCCAGGAGGGGAGCTGGGACATCGGCCTTGCGGCTCCCTTCCTCACAGCCAGCACCTTCACACAAGGGTGTGGGGTTTGTGGCTGCTCTTCCTACGTGGCAAGAGCATCCTTGTTCCTTGAGTGCATGGTTGAAAGCATCCTTCCTTTCCAGGTGCTTGTGGAGGAGCCGTAGTTGACAAGTGGTTAGTGATGGCACTTAGATGTTTCTCCTGCTTTGCCTGGGAGCGCCGGTGGTAGCTGACAGCTTTTGGGCTCAGGTTTGCTGCTGCTGGTTTAAGCCGAGGCCCTGAAGCTGAATGTGCTCCCCACTGTAAAAAAAGCTACAGTTAAAAGAGCCCAGCAGGATGCACCCCCCTGACCTCCGTGCGCCAGCTCTGCAGAGCTCTCTGGTGGGGTTTGGTGCAGGCAAGGCCTGTCTCGCCACCCGAACCCCAGGGGACTGCTGCCTGTTGCTCCCCTCTGCGCCTGGTTGATGCCGCCCTCTCTGGCACCCCCACGGCTGCTGGGGATGCTCTGGCTTAGCGAAGCCAAGGAGCTGCTCTCTGAGAGCAGGACCTTCATCGACCTTGGTTGCCCACCGACCGAGGCAAACCCCGCTCTGGGAGTCGCAGTGAGTTGTCATTGCCCGAGGACATTACGTGCCCTATCAGCAGCTCTGCTGGAAAGGGGAAGAGGCTTTGACTTCCCCTGGGGAGCTGCGCCCAGTGCAGGGTGGGGATAGACCCAACAGCTCTGCCCGGCAGCAGATCCCCCAGGGGTGGCATGAAACCCTCCCGTGGTCACGAAGAAGACCTTGTGCTGGGTGTTGGTTCTCGCAGCGTCTTGGGCATCTCTGGCTGTCTGAGCTCTGGGGTTCTCTCCTCCATGTCCTGCTGCGTGGTCCCTCTTCCAGGAAGCGGCTGTTTCCTCTCTGAATGCAAATCTGCCCCTCCTGGGGGTGCTCTGGGTTTTAAGGCAACCATGCTGGTGGGGGGGTTGAAGTATTTCAGTCCTCCCCACCCTGGCACGGTGATCAAATTAAACTCCTCTTCTCGACAGAGAGCAGATTCGATACCGGGTGAGGAACAGAAATCCCGCTGCTGCTTTCATCCCCTCTGCTGACATCTGTTGTTTGCCGAGGAGGAGGAGGGATTTTCTGCATCTTTCTGGTTTCTGAGGCCTTGTTATTTTTGTGTGCACATCACTTTGTGGTTTTGCATTCCCATTTCTCCACATTTGCAGGAAGGCATTTGCTCCTGGTGAATTACGATCGGACCTGCTGCCGGCTGGCTTAGGGGAGGTTGTGGCCAAGCTGCTGAGAGATTTAGGTTGACCCTGTGCTAGATCAGTGAGAGCAGGGTGATGGGGTTATGGGGAGCCCCCAGAGCAGGCCCCTGCTGCGATGCTACCGAGTCATGCCGGCTGCTGGGGAGAAGCGGGTTGTCCCCGGAGACGGGGAGCAATGGCAGTGAACAGCCGCAGATTCGGGGTGTTTAATCAGGGCTGAGCCTTTCACAGAGAGGCAAGAGGTTAATTATTATCTTTTTAGGTATCTGGCAGCTTCCTTTCAGGTTCTGGTGAGGAAACAGGGCTGCCATGGAGACTGCTGGGCTGGGGAGGTAGCTGGAAGCTATCGAGGGTTGCTGTGGGCTTTTTGGGGCTGGAAATCTGCTTCTTGACTACGGCTGGGAGGATTCAGTGAGAATTTTTGCATTAGATGGGGACAGCTTTCACTGTTTGAGTTTAAAACCTTAGGAAGGTGATACTAGGCCAGGGCTTCCCTCAGAAAGTGTGCACGAAGAGGCTGTAAATGCAGTGAGGTCGCTGCCAGGGTCTGTCCCTGTGTCCCTGTCCTTCCCGACACTCAAATCAGTGCTGCCAGTGGTGCCTTTACTTGGCAGAGGAAAGGAACAGCAACCTGCAGGCAAGGCAGGACCGTGTGTGCTGGCACTCTGCTTTGCTCCAAGGTGCCATGCTGCCAGCTGGGTCCAACTGATGCTGCTCACAGGGTGGATGCTGCGCAACCTGGAGTGATGGAAGGGCTGAGTAGTTCCAGTCCGAGGTGGCGAAGCGGAGATGAGGCAGGTCCCTGGTACGTGTGTGGAAACCCCAGTACTGAGAGGCATGAGGCTGGTGTCAGGCAGGTGGCTGAAAGTCTCTGGGCAGGATTTTCTGTATGCACCGGGAGTCTTCTGCATGAAATCCTGCAGGATACCGCTCAGCCCCATGGAAAACTGGGAGAAAAGCTTTGCAGTGTCCTCTCTTGCCATTTTCCTTCCCTCCTCTTTCTGTTTTGTTCCGACATCTGCAGCTTTTTCCCAGAGAAAAGGTTTCCTGCAAGGACATATTTTTTTCTTTTTTTCCATGGTGAGGAATAAAATCCTCTTAGTGCTTAAACCAGGCAGGCAGAGCCGTCAGCAGAAAAGCTCTGTGCAGCAGGCGTGTTGAGCAGGCGCTGCGTGACGGACTTACACTGGGATAGACTGAAAAGGAGGAATTTTAGCAGCAGCAACAGCTATTTTGTGCCTGATGTAGTTGTGCCCTTTCTTGGATGCCCTGGAATGAGCTGGGCAGAGCTGCTTGCACAGGGAAAGAGTTGTAGGTGCAGATGTAACTGTGTTTTACCCATCAACATCCTGACTACTGTCTGGCCAAGCATCCCTGGAGCTTGGACAAGTTTTGCCCAGGTTTGCGGCTGGATTTTTGGCTGTCTCCCTGTTGCATCCCAGGCACACTGTGCCCTGCACAGTGAAAGGGAAGCAGCTACTTGGAGTCGCATCAACTTGAAGATTATGTCCAGGGAATGAAAGATTGATGGCCAGAGGCTCGGGTTTCCCGTCGGGAGTGCAAGGTGACTCAATGTATTGAGAGAGGCATCTGTTTCAGGGAGCATGCATTATTGATCTGGGAGCTGGGTACTGTCGTTGGGATGCGGGGGGATTGGGAGGGTCAGATAAGCTGAAAACCTGTTGTTCCCCCAACAAGTCAGTGAGAGGATGGAGGAGGAAGAGGGGCAGGGGGGCGGTGGGGCTTTCACTTCCATCTCCTGTGCTTCCCTGGGTTGTGCAGGCGGCTCCGCAGGCACCCTGACATCCCTACGGAGAGACCAGCCCGTTGCTGTGGCTACGGCTCTCAGTGCGTGGTGCCTCTGTCTCCCTCCAGCCTCCTTCCAGCCCGGCTCTGCTCAGATAAGCTTGTCAGGGCTGTAAACACCAGCAAAAAGGCTCGGGTTTGGGAGCGGCTTTGTGGCAGGGTGGTACCCACAAGCTGCTCCGTCTCGCAGCGTTTTAAGGCAAGCGTGTGCCTTCTCACCGTGAGCTCCTCTTCTCTGGCAGCTTGCCTGTGTGGTCAGAGCCACCTAAAGGCCACCACTGGACAAACCACGATCTCCCTGGATGCCCTGGTGCCAGCTCTGCTCAGTCCTCCGTCCCAAACGGGTGGCAAGAGCTGCTGGGCTGGGAGGTTAGTGGGCTGCTCTTAGTGGGCTGCTGTTAGTGGGCTGCTAAAGGCAGGTGGCTCATGAATAGGGGACAACTCATCTGCAGCCTACAAAAGGTTGGAGACAGAGAGGTGCTGCACGACTGCTGGAGGCGATCTTGGGGCTGTCATGGGAGGGTGGATGAGGAGGCACGGGTGCCCACCAGGAGGGTTGGTGGCTGGGGTGCCTTGTAGAAAGGCCAGAAGATTCCTCATGATGCCACTGAGCTCACCCTGCCTCCAAGCAGCAGCATCCCTGGAGGTTTGCCAGGGCAGGGATGGGGGCACGTTGTCCTTCCTGGGGTTTGGTCACTCCCATCAGGAGATTCCCCAAGTGCCAGTTTGGGACCTGATGTTTCTGGCTAGAAAAGCACAAGCTGGTTCTGCTCTCCTCTGGGCTGACCAGCCCTGGTTCCTTCAGTTGCTCCTGCGCACTGCACCTTGTGGCATACGTGCTGTCCAGCCTGTGCCTTGCTCCTTGCAGATGCTGAGCTTTGACATGCTGTTTGTGCTGTGCCCACAGCCTCGTCAGCACCAAATAACATGGTTATGCTCTTGTTTGCACCTTCACAAATGGCTTTGCCTGCAATAACATGAAGCGATTAACCTGACCTCGGCTTGCGACCCACCTCTCCTGCCTGTAGCTGCTGGACCCTGCCCTGCGTCGCTGCAGCTGGTCCTTCTCCTGGTCACAGTGCTTGGCTTCCTGTTGAGTTTCACCCTATCTC